GTATAGGGTATTGTGCTGAGTGAAATGGGACTGACAGAGAAAGATAACTGCCATGTGATTTCATTTAGGTGTAGAATCTAGAAAAACCCACAAACAGTAAATGAGCAAGCAGACCAGAAACACTCATGATACAGAGAACATTTTGATGGTTGGCAGATGGGAGGGATGAGTGAAAAATATGAAGGAATTAAGAAGTACCAATAGGTGATTACAGAATAGTCATTAGAGTGTAAAGTACAGCATAGGGAATATAGTCAATAATAGTGTAATAACTGTGTGGTGTCAGATGAGTACTAGATTTATCAGAGTGATCACTTCATAAGTTATATAAAAGTTTAACCACAGGGTTTTACACCTGAAACTAATATAATATGGTATGTCAACTGTAATTGAAAAATAAAAAATATTAAAAATAAATAAATTGTCAATGCACTAATTATAGGTAAAGTATTATTACAATACTTGAGGATTGAACAAAATCTAGAAGGCATGATGAAAGATGACCTTCCACTGTTGCCACCATAATCAGAGCTTTGAAGATGCAGCATTATTCTCTTGTGTGTAAGAAAATCACCCATTTCTGAGCAGAAACTGCTCACTTGTTCTCACTCACCTTTAAAAAGAGTGCCAAGTTGCCAGCTGCCATCCTACTTCCAGGCCCACCCTGATCTTCAGTTCTTCAGAGGATGAGAAATGTGGAGGCTGAAATGAAATCAAGGTTTCAACACCAGCAAGAAGAGGGGGAAAAAATCTATTAATACCTACCTTCTATACAGAACTCTTCTTGGCACCACTTCTGCCTGGGATGTCCCTAGATTTCAGTGGTGGGAGTTCTTTGAGAGACTGGGTAGTTTCTTTCACCCCGTAATGAGTGACTTAGGGGAAGGGAACACATTGGGACATGGCTCGGCTCCAGGATTGCAAATTTCTATGCAATTTCCTGTCCACTATCCATCGTTTTATTCTCCTTCTCAATTCCCTTATGGGTTTCCAAATTTTCCTGGGGTTCCCAGAGAATGTCCTATGTCTCCTCTATTTTGATTCTATATCTTAATAGCTTTGAAATATCACATAAAGTGTTTCCACCATCCAGTTATTAGAGTTTCCTGGCAGGCCATTTAGAAAGACAAATTAAAAATCTTTCGAAAGAAATAAACCACTTGCACTGCATTCTACTGCAGAAAGCACCTCCCCTTTGTTGTCCCAAAGTAATTGAACTACTGCAACAGGAGTCTTTTCTTA